TGACGTTTAATCTATTGTGTATTTTGTTTATTCAAAAAAGTAACTATCAGAGTCCTCTGTTGGTTGAATATTAAGTTAAAATAGTGTTCGAGTTTAGTGAATTCTAGTTGATTCTAGGAGAGTTCTGAAACGTTTTTAAAATTTGGTAAGCCGAACAATGCTCATGTTCGCTGAAGCATCGGGAGCGTATCGAGCGCTTCCTGCCAAAAGCGACTTCTCGCCTCACCAGATTCTACATCAGGTTCTATTCCAACCGTGTGGAGGCGTGTCATCATCGTCAGAGTAACCTCCAAAGGGAGTGAGACTAAGAATGACTTGGTCGGTGTTGTTTTCTTGGCTCATGTTATTTTGAGACATGTCGTTCTTTAAATTTGTTCTAATTTACGGTTAACTGTCAATTTTTGGGTTTTCAGTACCTAGACAACTCTACCGTATGTTAGCATAGGTTTTATGATAGCCTTGTAAGTCCATGCGACGATTCTGGGCAAGAAACCCAGGTTCGCTCCACGGTTCGGCGTCATTGTTCATAAGCAAGGTATGCTCTGTTGAGTCTGTTTTCTAAACTCGATTTCCATGTTAACTTGCTGTTAAAGGTGAGACCTAGCTACTTCACCTCTCTGGCAAAGTTTAGTTTTGTGTTTAGGAGTTCTGGAGGGTTTAATTCCATTTTTATCCTTTTCCTTGTGAAAAGGGCCATTTGTGTCTTCTTGGGATTGATAGTGAAGAGTCTTTGCACTACTGTTCTATAATTTTGAGAGCTACTTGCATTCTTTCGTAAAGTATGTCCTCAAAATTCCCAGTTTGCAGAATGACCAGGTTATCTGATATGCTATTGTGTAGTGACTGTCAATTATTGAGGCAGCTGATGAGGGTGTTGAGGACCATGTTCCACAGTAGAGATGATAGCACCCCTCCCTGTGGACATCCCCTCGCAACCAAGCCTCTTATATTCACTTCTTTTGCATTTATGTTTACTTCTCGCTTTGAGAGCATTTACCCACTAACCATCTGTGGAACATTCTGTTGGTTAGTGGGTGTATTATCTTGGGGAAGGTGGTTTTATTAAAAGCACCTTCTATGTCTACGAAATCATCCAAGGTTGACTCCTTATTTTCCAGGCATCTCTCTATGCGGCTAGCAATAAGATGAAGGCCTGAATCAGTAGATCTGCCTGGGGTCTATGCATGTTGCTTTGGGTGTAGTAGTATAACCACCGCATCCCTTATGTACCGTTCGCATAGCCTTCCCAATGTCTTCTGGAAAACGATTAATTGGTCGGTATTTTTTTGGGACAGTGTAATTGATCCTTCCAAGTTTGGGTATGAATACCATTTTTACCTCTCTCCATTTTTTGGGGAAATACATTAGAGCCGACGAGGATCTGAATATACCCACCAGGTGCGGTGTGAGTTCTTCCAGACCACACTGAAGAAGGGCTGGGTAGATACCGTCAGGTCCTGGCGATTTAAATGGAGAGAAGCTGGATATTGCCCATCTAATTTTGTCATCGTGTTTATAACTAATCTGCATGCAAATTTGACAGTACTTGTACAAACAATGATACCCATAAATGATTTAAATAGTTTTTAATTTTTTTTTTAATTTTTGACGGAAGTGCACGAATTTTTTACTTAAAAATTTACTGAAAATTTGACAGTAGTTGTAAGAATAATGAAGCATATAAAAAAATAATAAAAAAATAAACATTTTTATAAATTTTTCTTCTTTTTTATTTTCTTTCTATTTTTTTATGATTAAGAATAATGATATTTACCAGATCAGATCTGGTAAATCAGGTAAATGGTGATCAGCAGATTCTGCTGATAATACTAAGAGATGTGGCAACACTGTATTTATGAGGTATATGCTATATTATTCGCTATTTTTCTGAAAGACAAAAGTGAACTGGGGGTGTCTGTCTGTTAATATTAAACAATGCTCACTTTGTATTGGAAAAAGGTAACGTTGCGACATCGCTTTGCACTTTGCTATGTATTAAAACATTATGCTATAAGGGCCACCAAAAAAAAAAAAAAAAAAAAAAAAGTTTTTTCGATTGGATCGAATTCATATCAGAATTATGCAGGAATTTGAGGAAAAGTCCCCCAGTCACATCGTAAAGTGTACTTTTCGAAAAGAAAACTCACTGTAACTGGCCGATTTTATAATCCAAGCAAGAGGACATGGAAAAGACAGAAGAAGAAAAATAAAGCATTTAATAAATAATTTTTATAAACGAATCTAAATTAGAATAATAAGAATTATTAATTTCAGAATAACCAAAGTTATCAATCAATTATTGAAAACTTATTTACATTATAAAAATGAGTACCTACCTTTTACACTTGACAATATATACTAAACTGACTTACTCTAAGGAAAATTTATAACTTTTTATATCTTGTATCTGGTCTGACAAGAACTCGAAGGAAAAAACCACCCTAGAAAACTGGCAACATTATTGGTCAAAATTAATAACAATTAAGATTTGTAAACTATTAAACATTGTATACTAACAATAAATGTTATATAATTAAACAATAATTTTGTTTCATATTAAAAAAAGAAGTTCGTCATAAATTTATAATTATAAATTCTGATAAATTAATCACTAAAGTCTCTTATATTATTAATTAAAGCTCTAAATAAAATCAGCTTTTTTGAAGTTTCAATTTAAAAACCTACTTCCCAAAAAAATTCCCATAAATAATTCAGAATGAAAAGGTTTTAGAAAAGAAATTGTAATAACACAAAGCATTCCGTACTTTTTTTTATTGATTTTGGGTATTGTTAAAATTTATTCAAATTAAGAATGGGACACAGAACAACTAAAGATTATCTGATTAAAAATAAGCCGATTAAACGAAACATGTTTAGAAGAAATGTTAGTGGTTTCCGAAATACAGGGCGTTAAAGTTTAAAATTTAATAGTTATTTCTGTATCAAGGGCGTAGAACAGGCATTTATGGATCGCAACGTGTAAGTAAGAGCCGAGCCGCTAGGCGAGGGCTATTAACACGTAAGGTCCATAAACGCTGTTTACGTCCGAAATACATACAAAATTTTATGCACCACCCTCTTAATGATAATTTATAAACAAATATATAAAAGTCGGATGATGACACTACTCGCCTGCGGTTTGTAGTGCAAACTTCGCCCTCGTGAGTAATAGCCATAATTACCCGCTCGTTGAATAATATACTATTACTTTATGGCCCGGCGGGCGGTAAAGTAGTTCGCGAGCTGTAAAGTAGTCCGATAAAGGGGCACTTTACGCCCACTAAACGTATTTATAATCTGGACTTTATCTCCCGGTCGGTCATAAAAATTATTTATACATATTAATATATTTTTTTATTTCTTAGTATAATTTTACTAAAATTTAGAAAAGGTAAAGGTGTTACTTACGCATGCCGTATGCCGTATACCACTGGCAAAGTTCAATTAACAGATTTTTGCTGATAGGTGTTTTTTATGACACTAAAAACGTTTGCAAAGTATAATTAAATTAAAAATTAAAAATTTTTAAATAAATTAAAATGAAGAATATCCACATTTGAGTGTTAATACCTCCAGAATCGATCACTTTATGAATTCCTAACAACAAGAGTACATGATTTATTTAAATGACATCAAACTATGTAAAAGTATAGTCCAAATAAGTTTTTGAACAGTAGCGTAAAATTTAGAGGGGATGAAGGTGTTACTTATCCATGCCGTACGCCACTGGCAAATTTTATTTAGCTCATCGTTTCGCTGATAGGTGTATTTTATGACACCAAAAATTTTAACCGAATTTGGTAAAATTATACTGATAAATAACAAAATTACAGCTATTAATAATTTTTAAATTTTCAACTTTTCAGAAACCATTAATATTTTATCCAAGCTCTCTCGTTTAATAGTATTAAACTTAATCAGAGAATCTTCAGTTGTTCTGTGTCCCAATCTTAATAAGATACCCTGTAATTATTTTTAAGGTTATTAAAGATATTTCACCTTTTACTAAATGATTTAAATTAAAAAAATACTTTTTCTCATAAAAAAATATTTAAATGTAATCTTTTTCAATACTTAAATCACTTCTAAAAATGATTTAACTACTTTTTTGACTTATTTTTTTATGAAAAATATTCAATAAAATTAGGCTCATTCAATAGACTAAAAATGTAATTCATAATTTAAAAAATAGTTTCTACTTGTCAAATTATACCCTTTACTGACTTTGTGAAGTTCGTATACCAAATTAAATGATTATAGTCTGCAGAAATAGGAAGAAGGTTGGAGGTTATAACAGAAATACATTAAATAATATATACCTACTTGAAAATACACATTGCAAAATAAATTTATTTTAAAATAACAAAAAAAAAATAAATTTGTCAAATGTTAAATCTTAGCCTTTAATAGCACAATGTTTTCGAAATTGGTATTAGTCAAAAATTGTCGACGACAGTGATACTTTCTAATAAGATTTAAATAATAATAATAATTATTAAATATTTAAATCATGAAAAAATATTTAAATCTTCCTTTGTATGACAACAGTCTCCTTATTAAATTAGATTAAATCGAGTAATGCTGCGATCTTTTTTTAGCTCATTTGTGTACTATGTGTACTATTTGCATACTATAGGCGTACCTTATGCGTACTATATGGGTTCTATATGCGTACTATTTGCGTACTATAAGCGTACTAATTGCGTGGTATTTGGGGTACAATGTGATCTAGTTTACAACAAATTTCGAATTAAATTGTCTTTGTTTTCTATTTGTTTTTATCTATATCGTCATTTAATTAGAATTAAATTGCAGAATATTATCCACCTATGGCGGTAATTGAAATGTCTATAGCTGCAGTTATGTCATTGTCTGCCCGAAGAAGCGTTGTGAAAAACAAGATTGTCCTTGTTTCTTACAGTACCCAAAATCAATATAAAAAGTTTTCACCTTTCACCTCCAAGTAAAAAATTATAAAGCTTCTCGTTTTTAATTTGCAGACATCCACGGCAGGATAAAATCCGAACGGAACAAGGACTTGGACGACGACGATATGACGGACGAAGACAGAAAGGACGACATCCTCAACACCAACATGCACCACATACTCGGCAACGGCTTCGGCATGAAATCCGAATTGAAATCCTCGGATTGCGGCGTACCCCTACCTCCCTCCAAACCAAAAATCTGGTCGCTGGCAGACACGGCGGCCTGCAAAACGCCCCCGCCACCTCCAGCGTCGCAACAGTGGTTGGGCAGCAACGGGTTCGCATTGCCGAGTTCGCGGTACGGCGGCAGCGGGTTCCTGCCTAGTCATTGTCAGCAGGGGTTCCCCGACGTCCAGACGGACACCCCACCGCAAACGCCTCCCAGTATGAAACTGCCTAGTGTAGCCGGTAACCTCATCCCTGGACAGGGGCCTTGCATAGGGACGTCTGCAGGAAACGGAGGGTACGCGCAAAGCGGGTTCTTGGGGGGATTCGGAAGGTTACAGTCGCCGCAAAGGGGTCCCGTGAATCAGTCGAATCAGATGCCTGCGCCTACATCCGATAACGCTGCCTTCAAACCCTTCTATAAAAGGTAATAATAAAAATATAACGTTTATTAATTTAGGGCCATTCTTTTTACCTCTGAGTGAAGTTGAAAGAAGGTACTTGCTGATTAAACTATGGGACTATTGTCAAGTAAACCTACATGTAACTTTACTCAGAGGTGAAAAGATCGGCCCTTAAACTATTTGTTTAATTTATATTCATAAAGATACTAATTTATTTTTACTAAATACTAGAATACTACACTAAATTATATCTCGTTTACGTATTCAATAATTTATATTGACAGTATATGTGAACAGAACGATATCTTGACTTAAACCTGTAACGGCAAAACAGTCTATATATAAACATACGTGGCTTCTAGAATACTTTTTTCTTTTAAAATAAACCTTTAATTGATACTCGGACCTCTATGAGGGCTCGTAAGAGAAAAAAAGAGGGGTCCAACACTAAAACGGATGGCCATAAAACTAACAATAAATAAAAATATAACAACATACATTACTAGGATTATAAAAGAAAAAAAATAATAATTTTTAATGACACCCCAATTCTGAACCAAAGAATTCGTATAACTATCATAAAAACTACTGAAGAAGGCACTAATCAGTGCCGAAAGCTATGAAAACACGCACGATTTTTATTTGATCCACAAGCAAGCACCTATAAACCCAAGAAAAATATAAATTAAAATGTGCCAGTTTCATTAAAAATAAAATAAACATTATTTTCAACAGTGACACAAATCAACTTAAGACATTGTTAACAGCTGAAATATTTTTTTCTGAAAGATCGTCATAACTTTTTTGGACCTTATTAGGCTTGTCATGATTTATCATTTTAAAATTGTTTAAATCTTTTTTCATTCAAACAATAATAAGTTAGCTTTGAAAGCATTAAGGAAAGTTTTGGCGATTTTTCAGAAAAGTATATTTCACACTATATTGTTAACCTTTCTACCAGAAAAGTATATATGAGACTGTATTGATAACCTTTTTTTTTTAAAGAACTTGCATATTTTGATTTATGTCACTATAAATTGACAATCTTATCTTATTCGCTGCCGGAGCATAACTAAATTTGGATCACTCTTCATCATCATAAACTAAACATTATTTTAAACAGTGACACAAGTCAAATTAAAATATTGTTGAAGAATTAAATATTTTTTCAGGAAGATTGTCATAACTCAAAATGAAAATATATTTTTTGGGTGTTTTCTTATGCCTTAGGCTCGTGATGATTTTGAATTTTAAAAATGTTAAAATATTTTTTGGGAATAAAATGTAATAAGTTTACTTTGATAACATTAAGAAAAGACCCATAAATATTTTATATTCATCCCTCTTTTGAGTTACGATGATATTCCAGAAAAGTATATTTTATAGTGCATTGATAATGCCCTTTTCAACAATAATGTCCTAATTTAACTTATTCCATTGTTGAAAATAGTGTTCTTAGTTTATTTTTAATAAAACTGGCATATTTTGACTTGTCACTTTAGATGAAAATTGACAACTAGATTTGTTTCACTCTTGTTTCACTTGTGACTTTGTAGTACGAAAAGAACGACATAATTGCTTTCTAGCGGCCATTTTAGGAAGTAGAGATATATTGTTCTTCCACATAAGAATATGCGGATTATGCTATACATTTTCACAATAAGCTCTAAAATGGAAATTTTTGGGTTGTGTCACTATTCCACTCACTAGTTATCATTTTTCTAGTATATCAAGAGCCAGAAGCACAAAACTTAGTAATTCCAGTGTTTTAGGCTGGTAAGCCTGTCAAACAAAAATTAGACAAAATGATCTTAAGTTATTTGGTCAATTTTTGGAAACATAAAGCCCTTAAAGTCAAATATTTTCCGTATTTTTCATTTCCGATATTTACCGATAATTTTATATAATTAATATAACCTTACCGACAATTTGAGAGAAAATATTACAGTAATAAGTTTAAAATCAGTTAATTAATCACCCGCTATCAAATTAAAACCCGTATCACTAGTTAGAAAACTCAATCTGCTTCATCAGTTGTCAAATTCTGTCAAAAAATAAACAATTAACGGACTCAAAAAACCGTTCGGACCCACGCCCTCGTTTAAAATCTCTTCTCACATTTTAATTGGCCCCCCTTATCGGCAACGATATCCTAATTCACTTGTTTTACCTGTCTTTTTTTTATTATTTTACAGTTCCCAAAGCATGAACGGAGGGTTCGTGTCGCCAGTATGAGCCGCTCCCTACTGGGCCCTGTCGTCCCATCTATCAGGTAAGCCACGTTGCCAAATTTACAAAAATTTCCTTAAAGTTGATACAATTTTTTTTAATATGAATTGTTTTATTTATGAATGATCGTTGTAGATTTTATTATTTATTGTTTATCTGGTTTTCGGGGTTTCTTTAAGTAAAACAGTTCTACTGTCAATTTAAATAAAATATACTTACTAATTATATTCTAAAATTTTATGTAATGAGACAATCGTTTACAATTTTTTTTATATTTTGACTAAAAGACGGTTTACAAATTGTAAAAACATGTATACGCTTTAGTTAGGTATTAATTCATTTAATAACGATTTAAAAACCTACGTAAGCGCGTAATGCAAAAAAAATCAATTTTCCCTATTTATGGGAAAATTCGACAACCAGCAACGGTGTAAGTCGACGCTATTCACCGTTGCCCACGCTCGAAAATCGTCCAGTGAATGAAGAATGCCCCGCAGTCACAATCGCCACCTCTGTGACATTGACAAATGAAGCCAGATAATGATCGGTGTATGGTCCTCGCGGTCGCGGCCATTAACTAGACACTCTACCTGGATGGTGCAGTAATTATCTGCCCAAGACGTTCATTTGTCGTTCTATTTTTTTTTTTGAGGTCTACGCTCATGTCGAAGGTTTTTATTTTTTGAAAAATAATTAATTAGTGACAGGAAGATGTCATTACATTGTGAATGAATGGACAGTACAATATTCTACTCTTTATTTTTTTGTAGACAAATTATTGGTTCTTGTTTTAATATTTGTCTAATATGCTTATTTTAATCTTATCCCATTTGGTTTTTCTTTCGATTTGTTTTCATTATTTCATATCCATTTCATTAATTTTTATTTCATCTTTATGCTCATCAAGGACTATCAACAATGTTAAATATTTATTTTATAATAAATTTAAATCAAAAATTAAGCCTTACCTAATAACTACGGTTGCCATTAAGTGGCGGCTGTTGCATAAGTACTGTAGAGCTTCAGAGCTGCCAAAAAATTCAATTATCTCGTCTACAATTCACAGAATTATTTTAGACATTCTAAAATATATGTAATATAGATTTTATGGATATCCTTCCCAGCAAACATTTTCTATAACATTAGTTATAACTCGACTTTGTTTAAGACGAATTTACTTATTGAGGTAATTATTACGTAAAATTGACTAGAAAAATATACATCTAATGTAAATTTACCAAACGGTTTTAATTTATATTTAAATTTACGTAAATTATACCAAGAAATCTACCTTTTACACAAATCTGCTTAAAAGTAACTTTAACCATATCAGCAAGGGAAAAACTACTTAAAAAAATAACCAACAATTACTTCAAAGTTAAATTTCCTTTGTAGTAAAATTAGGTGCCATATTTAGGTAATATCTACCTGTTTGGCAACTAAAAATCGACTTTATAGTAGAATATCCAACTAGGTAGATTTGGTTAAAAATTCTACGTAATTTTATGCCTCCATATTTGGCCGCTTTTATTTACTCTCCTTTAAAGTAATATTAGGTCGAGATCGTAGCAAAATTCTACCTGTTTATCTACCTAATTTCAACCAAATAGTCGAATACTCATTTAGTTGACCTATAAGTCATCTTGAAGAAATATTTATTAACTTTGTTGTAACAATTACCTGAAAAATTTACCACAAAGTAAATTCGACTAAAAACCACCAATTTAAAAAAAGTCATACATGACCTATTTGTAAAATTTATATTATTTAGGTTATTTTAACAATTAGGTTGTTCAGTTACTGTCTTCGTCATTATTCTTAAGAATTTCGGCCATTTTTAAAAAACCATTACAGTCGTAAATCTTAATTTACGTGTGGTGTAGATAGCTTTAAATGAATGCGAAAAATAATTAATAAAATGAGTTCGAAAAATAATAAATCATATCGTTATACTTCCGATTTTTATCGTAAAGTGAAACGTCTAAAATCTCAAGTGTAGAACAACGTGACCTAAATATGTTATATTTACCTATAGGTAAATTTTTTATAAAACCTATAAGTTATTATTTCTTTAAATAGGTAAAGTTAACTAATATGTCGTGAAATTGAAGTTAATTCAACTTAGTAAAAAGGTATTTGTAAAATATGTAGATTTCCTTAGTCATAATAACTTTTAGGTCGAATTCGCACAATACGCCATATTTTCTTAACGTAATTGAAGTACGATTCCAAATTTTAAATTTTTAAAATGACCATAACTAAAACATACGAATGAAAATACCGAAAAACGAAACATTATTGATTTTCTAAAGTGATGCACAACAAACGTAACATAGTTTTAGCTCATAATATTATTATTATTTTTTTACACGATCATATTTTTTTCTTATATTTTTTTAATTAGAGAGTATATTGGAAGGGCATTGTTATTTTTCTAAGTAGAACTGTTAACATGCACGACAAAATTTTCTTCGCATTAATTTCAACAAGCGTGAACTGTATATTCACAGCAATTACATTACATATATTTTTGTCACCGACATTTATTTATTTTCAATCTTTCATGTCAATTAGGTATATGTTTTAGTTGTGTTGGTTACTTCTTACAATATTTCTACTTATATATAGATAAAAATACCAAATAAGTATAAAATTTATTTTCGTACACTTGGAGGCATACGTCATCTGCAAATATTTTGGTAGTTTCTACCTAAACTTAGTTAAATCAACGTCGAATTAACGTTATACTGACGTCAAATTTCTCTTGAGAGGTATTACTAACCAAACGTACTGGGCTACTACAATGTGGATTTAGATGTAATTCTACCTATTTTGGTAAATAAAACCAAATTTCGACGTCGTCTTATTCTCCACTTATGTCGAATCCACATCGAGCCAACGTAAATTTTACTTAATTATGGTTAAATCTAATTTTGCGACCAAATTTATTATATATAACTTAGGTAGTATCGACGTCAAATTACACCAAAATGTTTGCTGGGTTATTAATATTAATTTCATTTTAATTATTAAATAGTAAACAGTGTGTGTGCACTGCACTACACTATGGTACAGAAGCCCACTATTTTGCCCAAAATTATTTTTTATTCCGAAGCTGAATTACCTTATTTGTTTCAATATAATTTGGTTCCTAAACACTGTCTGAACATAATTTGAACATTTTGAAGAAGCCCACAACAAATTTATATCATTTAGATCAATTAAAAGTATCATGTGTACTATGTACTATGAAAAAACGCTTAGGTTTCAATTAAGTCAAAAGACTTATTGCGGATGACAAAATTTATTTGGGTGACAATTTTTTTCCACATTTAACAATGTTATAACAAAGTAAAGATCACTGAATAATGTAAAAGTAAATTATGAGACACAAAAAAGATAAACGCAGAAACTTTTAATAACATTTAAATATACAAAGAAAATTAAACTAAATATTTTGTAATTCGCTGTCTAACTCTAAACTATCTAATTCAGAACCCAAAAAGCTTTCTAAATCCAAAGCATCTGATTGTGAATCATCTGTTGTTATATTTAGATTTTCAGGTTGGGCATGTGATTCCAGCAACTTAAGAACTTCTTCCGGTAATTTTTTAATTTTAAGTTTTAACCTTCGCGACTGAAGTGATAAAGATGATATTAGAGGATCTGATGTATCTATTACTCTTTGGAAAATGTCAGTTAAGTTATTAACTTTGCTGTTTTTCGGGCATGATATTCTCGGTCTTGTTGATAAATTTTGTTTCTTGATTCTGATGCCTCTTCTCCCAAATACTCAACTGATAAAATGCATTTTTCCATTATTTGTTTATTGTATACAAGGACTTTATGAATAGATGCGGGCATCGGAAACCATGGATAGAGTTTCAAGAAAATATGACCGGTTTCGAAGCAATAGATTTCAAATTTATTCAAATTTAATGAAAGTTGTCATGCCATTGAGATTAGTATTATCCAAAAGTGTTTATTTAAATTACAGGAAACCCCAGTAATATCCGAAAACAAATCATAATTTGAAAATGCTTCTCTGGCGGTATTTCTGTCGTTAGTAGACCCAAAGTCATTAGATTTTGGTTTATCGACATGTAGGCTTAGCTTTTCCCAAAACAACCTCAGTACATTTTTTTCTGCTCGGAAAATGCAGCTTAATTTGTCTCGCCCCGAACTTGCCACATTTTTATATTTAATCTATAGGAAATGTGGTTTACACATTCAACAAAATGAGTCCAGAAATGAAGTGGACTGATACCGCACTGAAGCGCACTTTCTTTAGGTTTAAATATATCGGACATGAAGTTAAAAAGTTAAAAATTTAGCAGGAGTATCTCCGCATATTGGACATGCCTGACTCGATTTAGTTTCAGTTAGGTCACTTAAAACTTTACCGGCTTAAGACAGAGATGAAAATCAACTATTACTTGACATCTATTTACTGTGAATTCAAATGGTTTAAGATTTTGAATTTCCTTCTCTAAGCTAGTTTTTTCATTCATGATATATTTTTTGGTTTTTTTCGCATATTGAAGTTTGATTGGTCTACAAAATCTTAGCGACTGAGGAGTTAAGTTATTCCAAATAAGACCACCATTACTCGTAGTCAGTCTTAGTTGTATAAGCGTAGTTGCAAAAACACTGGAATCTTGAGAAACCTTCGGCTTTGTTCAAGAACTTCTGTTCATATTCAGAATGTCCAGAGCTGCCATCAAAATCATAGCTTGCCACTGGAGTTGCAGAAACTTGATGTTTGCCAATGGTAATTCTGGATATTACATCTTCCTGTAATATGAAAATTTTGTTTGTGGTATAAGGCAGAAGATCCTGAAATGGCACTTTTGCTAAATTTTCAGAAATTTCGATATTATCTGGTTGATATTCTGATTTGGCTTCTAAAACTTGCTGGTAGGACGGGTATATATCACAATTTCTATTTTTACTGCTCAGACGGATAGCTATATACTGCTGTTTAGTAAATCTGTTGTCGAGTAGAAATGATAACGCTTCTTGAGGGATGTATTTAATTGGATCCTTGGCCTTGGTAGAAAATTACACTTTTTTTATTTTAGAAGCTCTTGTGGGACTTTTAGTAGTTTCCCTAAGAACACATGATAAGTCTTTATTTCCACCTTACCTTGATCAATATTGGCCATTATCAAAATCGCTAAAAAAATAATTGTTTTGATATTGCACATTTACAGACTTCACCTACAAACTGTTAGAATAAACAAAAATGGCACACACTGGCAATTTCGCTTGTCCTGACGCTCAGCCTACTAGATATTTGGGTGAAATTTTTATGGAATAATATGAGCTGATGATTTATGCTACTAATGTTGTCAAATTATTATTTCCATCATTTGTTAATTTTGAGCAGATTTAGGATCTCCTGTACCATAGTGCGTCACCGCCTGCACATCGTCTACTTTAGTTGTTCTAATAATCTTGGTAGGCATGTGCCTGTCAAAAAGATTAATTAATAAATTTGCAAACAGCGAAATTTTCTTGTTAACAGTATTTTGATCAAAAATAAAAAAGGTGTTTTTGAACAATTCTCTGGAGTGTATTTATTTATTTTGATGGAAACCCCCAAAAGTAGAATCTTTAAAACTTAAGGTTCCTACAAAATAAAATAATGAAACTCTAAGCTGTATATATGTGTATATCGAAAGAATAAAAACAAAATAATAATAATAATAATAATAATGTTATTATTCTGTGTACTTCATATTTTTATATAGGTGTGTTTTGTGTACGCCCTTGATCATTGTCAACTTTGGAAGGGTAGTTTGATTTGTGCCTTTATACAGGATATTTCCAAAGTAATTTTAAGACGAGAAGCTCCTATAAACATGTGTGATAGGTTTTGTTGTTTATGAGATACAGTGTGTTGACTTTTTTATAATATACGAGCTCTGATTTTATGTGAAAGTTACCAGATCCGATCTTAAATTTAGAAGATCTTCAAAATCGCATCATACAAGGCTGCAATGTTATTAGCAACCATCCTGGCCTCTTCTAACGTATTCGGCAATCCATTAAACACCGCTTGTATTTTAGCTGGCGTTGCACATTTTGAACATTTGCTATGAAATGTAATACTACTTTTGTGTTTATTACAATGTATTGCTTCTATTAAAATAATAAAAAAGTAAACATATCACAAATGTCTTTGGAAGGTTTTCGTCTTAAAATTGAACGATGAATGGCCCACAACAATATTTCAGAATACTTTGGAAACACCCTGTATATATAAATGTAAATAAATTTGTTAAATTCAAGACATTGCATTCAATTAGCAGCAGTTTGATTTACGAAAGGCGGAGAGTTCCATTAAGAGTGTGAAAACGTCATCTACCAAAATAGCTACAATAAATTTTAGATTTATCGAATTTAAGCAGCCAATGCAAATTTCAATAAAGAAAAAGGAAGATACAACTAAATTGCCATTTCGTTACTAATTATTTTTAAATTTCATTTTAGAAACTTCTTATCAAATTGAACCCCCTCTAAGAAGATAATTTTGATTATGATTGAATCTATTCTGCCTATTTACTTGCTCATATTACCTTTCTCTTTGTCTTTCAGACCTTACGAATTTCCACTCGTTTTTCCGCTAACCTAGTCATCTTAAGCAAATAATAGTTCAATATTTGGCAAAGGTATGGTCTCCGTCATATCTAAACTATCGTACTATATACCTCACAATCTCCTCATCTCTCATTGGAGGATCCAGGATTAAGCTATGATATTTACCTGTAAAGCATATTCCCTTCTTCTCATCAAACCTTGCCGTATATTTGCCTGTGCAAATTTACCCCAATAATAATCCATGAAACTATTTTTAAACTCGTCAAATGTTTAAATATCTCTTTACTTAAAAACCTCAACAAAACCTGTCCATCTTTTGCTCTACTCCCACTATTATGTTTATATCCCTCTATTGATGTCTTAACATCCTAATAAACACCGTTGGATATATCTTTCCTATGCCACCGTCAAATGTATGTTCAATTATTTCACTTTGAATTAACTGTAACTCCTTTTCATTCGTTCTTCCCTTCTGACCTCACATTAATTTCATATAACGCTTCTTTTACCTTCCCTAAATTTCTATTAACTTCGTTTTCTACCACGCACTCAGCTTATCATCCTTTTCTTTTCCTTTACTATTTTTTCAATTCTACTGACGATTTCCTCCCTATCATCCCTTTTAGTTTGTTCTAGAAATCCATCTTTAAAATCTCTATTTCCTGTCGCAATTCTAACTTAGTTATTTCCAATCTCCTGCCAATGTTCTTTTCCACCATTTGTTCTTCAATACCATCTCTACCTCTGTCAACCTCTTTACCAGCACCAAGCATCTCTCAAATACATTAATACCGCTATTCATACACCCTGCACAGTCACAAACGTGTTTGGAGGTATCCCTTTGACAATCAATGTCACGATACCTTTTTTCTATAGAAGTTCACACATATGATTGAGTTGAACAGATAGACAAATCTTAGGCCGAAATTAGCAGTTTTAGTAAGTAGAGTTGACAAGGTATTACCAATTCCGCGAAATTCGTGTAACCCCACGTTGTCTGCGCTACTTTGATATGGAAATGAGTCCTGCGAGGCTTCCAACCAAACTTCTTTTTGTTTTTATGCTATTTTACAAAACAAATTTCAAAATCAATATAAAACTACAAACCGCAATATCCTTCCTAATTTGACAATGATCGGAAGCGTACACAAAACCTGTTTCCATAACAAATACTATTCAACTGACCATAACACTAAAAACAAAAAAACAGCTAGATGAAGAACTGGAAAGGTTTATAGTTGAAATCCAGCAAGTTGCATGGAGGAACACACCAAAAGTAGGAAGATTAACAGCTGTCGAGATAAGAGAACTGGTAGCAAAAAAAAAGAAAACTAATAAAGAAATGGCAGATGACAAGATCATATATTAAATAGAGCTACCCAAACACTGAGAAGAGAAATCCTAAATCACAAAGAAGAATCCTTCAACAGATACCTAGTGGGGCTAACAGATGATAAAGAAACTGATTATTCACTCTGGAAGGCAACTAAAAAGATGAAAAATTCGTGTAAACACTGTTCTCCAATCAGAATAGCAGAATGGTCAAGAGACAATCAACAAAAAGCTGATATTTTCGCTGACCACCTACAAAAGACGTTTCAATTAGATGAAAATCAAGACACTCCTAATGAGACCATCCATAATATGGAACAACTTGAAATTTAGCTAGTTACTCCCAATGAAGTTATGAAAGAAATTCAGACAAACATCAACTCACAGAAAGCCCCAGGATATGACCTTATTACTGGAGAAATATTAAAGAAATTACCACGGAAGGCTATTGTTAAATTGACATACCTCATTAATGCAGCATTTCGCCTTAAATATGTACCTGATGCGTGGAAAATGGCTAAAATTATCCTAAGCCAGGAAAACCTCTGAATGAAGTGTCATCATATAGACCTATATCATTGTTACCGATAATATCTAAGTTATTTGAAAAACTACTGCTAAAACGACTAAAACCAATAATTGAAAATAAAAATCTGATCCCTTCGCACCAATTTGGTTTTAGAAACAAATACTTGACAACAGATCAAGTACACAGGATAGCCGATATCATCGAAAAAGCTTACGAAGAAAAATATATATGCTCAGCTATATTTCTTGACGTAGCCCAAGCATTTGACAAGGTTTGGCACGCTGGCCTAATACAGAAACTTGAAAAAATGCTCCCTAGACAATATATCGACATTCTACAATCATATCTAACGGGAAGAATGTTTAGAGTAAATCAAGACGAGGCATACTCCGAAATGAAAGAAATTAAATCAGGTGTCCCACAAGGCAGTGTGCTAGGACCGGTTCTTTACTTATTATACATCAGCGATATCCTTCAACAACAATCTGTTAAAATAGCAACATTTGCGGATGACACTGCAATATTGACAGTTGGCAGAACTAATACAGAGACCTCAGAAAAACTTCAGGAAACCTGCAACAGAATCAATCGATGGACAAAAAAGTGGAAAATAAAAATAAGTCAAACTAAATCAGTACATGTTGATTTTACTTTTCGACCAAATGAACAAAAACAAATAAGAACAAACAATGACGTTATTCCGCATCACGATTCGGCCAAATACCTGGGGATGAACCTAGATGTAAGACTTAAATCGAAAGAGCCCTTAAAAAAAAGCGGTAAGAACTTGAACCTAAATTCAAAAAAATGTATTGACTCCTAGGAAGAAAATCTAAATTGTCAGTGCACAACAAACTGCTGATTTATAAACAAATCCTAAAACCAATCTGGATTTATGGCATACAGTTATGGGGATGTGCCAGCAAGAGTAATATTAACATGATACAAGTTTTTCAAAATAAAGTCCTAAGATGCGTTGTTGATGCACCTTGGTTCTACCGAAACGATTATCTTCATAGAGACCTGAAGATGCCAACAATCGAAGAAGCAATAAAGAGGTTTGCTGCGAAACATGAGGGTCGACTCCACTCCCACGTCAACGAAGAAGCGCTGCAATTACTGGACTACTCTACACTCAACAGAAGGCTCAAAAGGAAGAAGCCATTTGAGCTATGCAGTGAACGTTAATGTTAGTGCTAGTGTAAAACAGTGTAATACATCTTCCCGCCAACTTGTGATGCTTTCCTATAGAAACAATTAAGACTGCCCAATGGGGACTTCTTAGATAAGTAATTAGTTATAAGATTTTTAGATTAAAATTGTAGGTTAGTCAGTAATGACTAGTAATAATATTCTACCTAACAAAAAAAAATTATCAATTCCCCCAAATTTTATATATAGAAGATATAGAACATTATTTTTATTAGTAATATGTTTCACTCTTTCAATATACACGTATATACAGCTTCAGAGTTTAATAATTTTATTTTGATGGAACCTTTAGTTTTAATGATTCTACTTTTGGGGGTTTCCATCAAATTAAAATAAATAAACTTCGAAGCAGTCTACATACGTGCATATTGAAAGAGTAAAATCGGAACAATAATAATGTTGGCTTATAAACAATTCAACTTCCTAGCAACCATGTATCAGGTAATTAGTCGATCATGAATTGAAAAAAAAATCATCAAATTTGTAGCCAATAACCCAAAAAACGACTTAACAAGTTTCCTGCAAGTTTAAGGAAAAATTTACAATTTATGTCCACCATTTTATATCAGCCATTTCGTATTCTGAATTTATGATATCGAATTTGAAGTCAGCGACCCGAGAAACCCATTTGTATAAAGTTTCATGCTAGTTTATAAAACAAAATATAATTTTCTTTCGCCAGCTTGAATTATCCATTTTGAATTTTTGAAATTAGTGGTCCCAAAAACTTTTAAGTGCTAGCATACACTTTAATTTTTAACAGAAAAATATTAGTTTTCCGATTACCTTCTCAGGTGCGTCCCTGATTTTGCTGTCAAGGCAATCTTAGATTCGCCTTACGCTTATAATTGCAGTTGCCCACTTAGCCTTAACTTTCTGTAATAATCATGTAGCGAGATAAGCACAAGAAGGTGAATCAATCCATCCTGCTGACTGGTCCTGACATAATAACACCTTTAATTGTTAAGAAAATGATCTGGGTAGCTATTCTTGAATTCGAGGGAATAGAAAACCGGATTTTCCTCTTTATCTCTAACACACAAAATTTGTATTTTTGTCTCATTCTTCCCTCAAAATTTCTACTCCCTGAGATTCAAGAATAGATACCCTGTTCTGTTGAACGTTCACTGAGAAAACAATTCGAAAGTTAGATGAATGATGAAACAAATTATTAATTTATCTATTCTTTTTTTTTTGTTTCCAATATTTTAAATGATTGATTGATTAAGATGTTCGGGGCAAATATATATGTTAATAACTCATAGGAGAAAGTTGAATTGTTTTTTCTTATCGATTGTAAGTTTTTACGATTAAGTTGTTAATTGTTTTGTGATTAAACGATTCCATATGTCGAGATTGGTTGCGTATGTCGTCGATCAGTCTGAGGCGCATTAGACGTTAGGTCCCCGGTATGGGGGCAGCAGTGAACGTGTTAATGAAAAATTATTTTTACAATAGAAAAAATTAAGTTGAAAAAATGAAAAATGTAAATATTTATTTTTGAAATTATGGAATTTATACATTTTAAAGAGTTAAAAAAATTTCTAGACTGCTAATTCAATATGGTTGCAGGATTTATTCTCGTCTTACGAAAAATGAGTTATTTAGTAGGGATAAAAAAATATTGTTAAAGGTTCTTACAACTTTAAGAGCACTGAATACTGTTTTCTTAATAATATTAGTAATCATTGTACTTAACAATCTAACATTATTATTTTTTTATTCCTATTTTATGGTAAATTTAAAATTGCGAGCTTTCATTTTGAATGAATGATACATGTCTCCAATAAGTAGTTTTTTTAAGTATTTTTCTTTAACAAAAAATTAATTTTTTTTTCAACTTATAATGTTGATCTATTTGTTATTTTACTTGTCTTACTTGGTATGAATTAGTATAATTCTAGAAAAAATAAATATATTGAATTGCTTAAATATTATATAAACCTCGTAGGAAAATCCGACACACCAAATAACGCGATAAACCAGTCAACGTTGAGAGCCCCATTGTTTTCAAATCAATATGCTTTCTACACAAAACACACCCTTTCTATCAGAGCACCAGAAAAGGTATTTATCAATCTTGCGGTGTAATCCCTTCTCTTCTTCTTGCTGCTACTTGTGCTTTCACTTCAGTAAACTTTGTTCAGTTGCCAATCAGCAGTAGGATGAT